TCAGACAACTTACCCACAAAACCTGTCCTTTTATGCTACGCAACTCTCCCTAGGCATCACTTCATATAGCATCAACAACCAAAGAGGGGAGAAAGTGATGAAACAGTGAAATTAAGAACAAGTGGAGGAAGTAAAGGGTGGTGAACAAAGATCTCACCATCTTTTAGCTCTGTAAATCTTTCTTATTGTTGGACTTGAAGAACCATAATGATCAAGGTACTATTTATCTTTAAACTTCATGCTGTTTGAGAAGGCAATTCCCAGACCACCATAGCATGACAAAGATGTGAGAACTATTGTTCTTTACAGGAGGAATAATTATGTACCTTTCTCACGGGTCATGTGAGGTCTTTTGTTCTGAAGGAGGAACAATTATGAACCTCTGACACTGTGATATCTTCTAATGGATTTATTTTTATTAGGAGTTTCAATATATATATACATTTATATATATATTATCAGAGAACTGGAAGCACATCGTGGCCACAGTTACGCAGTCTTAGACAGCCTACTGTGAACGTCCTTCTCTGATTTCAGGAATTCCTAGTAGCACAAATAAATTGTGTGTCTTGGTTTTGCTGCATGGATAACAGGCATCAGGGTAAGAGTACTTGGTACAGGGTTGAAATTAGCTTTCTGTTATGGGAAAAACCTGAAGAGTGTAGTGTCTAAACCTAGGCATAGGCATTACCTGCAAAGAAATTTGTTCTGTTACCATGCCAAACATTCATGTTGTTTGGTTCAATAGTACTTACTTTTTTCTTTTTTTAGATTAAATAGCATAACATTGATGGTTTCATGGACTAACCAGCATTGATAATAATCGGAGAATCATCTATCTTTCTATCAGCCACAAGAATAGTGTTATTAAATGAGCAGCACTTCACTGCATCACTATGCCAAGAAAGAGCCACCTAATGATAAATGTAAATACTGAGTATTTATTCATTTTCTTATTGTTCAGATTTATCTGTTTTAATTTATATACTAATGCATTTCTTCTCCACAGCGAGAAATTTTTTTACTAAAAAAAATTCAAATTATGTATTAATTACTATTAATATTTTCAAAATGTATCCCTAATAACATTTTATCAAAGAAGTTAAAAAGATTTACCCTTATTATAATAGATAATGGCAACTTCAAGTAACTAGAATAACAGTTAAAGTAAAAATAATTTTGAGCGATTTCCATTTGGGATTTAACTTTTGAGTGTTCCTTATTTGGAGTTTATATTTCCATTTGGAGTTTTCTTCTAATGTTTCCGCTTGGCAAAAATGTTCAAAATTACTAAAATATACTTAACTTATTTAGATTTAACATACCCGTATTTATTTTCTCATTCGGAAAGTTACCAAAAAAGATTTATAATACGTCATTAATAAAAAAAAGAAAAAAATTAAACGATATTTTTATTGTAAGTCCAATATTACTGTAAATATAGTAGATCAAAAAATATTCAGTTAGGGCAAGTTTAATAGGGTTGTAAGGTTTATTAAATTTTATGATCGTATTATCTGATCGTACTATTTTATTTTAACTCCATAGTTGATCTTAGAGATGACATTTCGCATAGACACTAATATTATCCGAATATGGATTACAAGGAATTGCTATTCAAAAAAAAAGATACAACAGAATATCTGATATGTTTTTTTATCGTGTTCAACAATTTTTTTTTAAATGATTTTTAATTTTTACTAATATTTTTATTAAATAATTCTTTTTTAACATGTTCATGTAATTATATAATTAATACGATGGTAAAAAAAATTATATGTGACGCAAAATCAATCCACCACCTTGAATCCTATCATGGTTAAAAATCCGTCTATTGGTTAGATTTCACATGATGATCACCAATAAAAATTTCTGATTTCACGTGATAATTAATTTAATAAGCCAATCACATTTTACATAAAAAAAAAATACAAATTCTATAATTACTTGTTGTTTAATTAATATTCACGTTTTGAATAAAGGCTAACAAAGGCAATTTCAAGATAGTTAAACATAATTACTTATTGTAATACTATATTATTTAATGGTTACGGTATATTTCGCCGAAATCCTTTCATCGAAACTCATTTCGCCAAAACCATTTTGCCGAAGGGATGTTTCAATTAAGTGATGTTTCACTGAGAGGATATTTTGCCAAAAGTGCATTTTATCGAATCCATTCACCAAATCGTCCATTTCACCAAATTCCATTTCACTGAATCTCATTTCGCCAAATGGACATTTCGCCGAAGATTGTAGCGTTAACATTTTTATAAAAAATATTCATGGCGCAATTAAAATAAAAATTAAATTATTTTTAGAGAATTTTTTTTTCCAGGATATTATCACTTTAACATTCAATTAATTGATATTAATTGTTAAGCATAAGATACACGAAAAAGGTCTCAGTTGCTTACGTCATACATATCCAATAACTTTATTATCAGTTATCATCTACAACATGACCGATAACAATTACTTATTTCCCTGAAACATTTATTCAGTAAAAAATGATTAATATATTATAAACAACAAGACAAATTTAATAAAATTTAACTAATTCAAAATTTTTTCTAGAAAAGATTTCTTTATGTATTTAGTATAAAAACAATAAAATAGCCAAATGGAATAAATAATTTTTCGGTGAAACGTCCATTTGGCAAAATGTCCATTTGTCGAAATATCCTTTCGGTGAAACTGATAAAATCCCTTCAGCGAAATGGTTTCGGTGAAATGGAACTTCAGCGAAAAGATACCCTATTTATTACCTGAAATTGTTCCCTCCCCCTCAAATTTTCAGTCAGAAAAGACGTTTAACTAATTATTAGTTTGGAATGGCCTTAACTAAACCAAAAAATGATATGAATTCTTTCTTTTTAAAAAAACAATGAAAATGATCAGCATGTACTTTTCGCTAAAACAATAAGATCAAATTAATTTTTTCACCAAAAAATAAATAAAAATAAATAAATAGAATATAAAAAATTTATGATGTTTAAAAAGTATATGATTTTTTTCTTATATCTTGTATGATGATCAAGTTATTGTTTAAGAAAATGTATTTAATCAATTATTTGAATAATTAAAAAGAGAGTACAAACAATAATTCATCTAAGTTTTTTTATTTAAATGTAAAATAAACAAAATGCGTAATTATCCGAGATCATTTTTTCGACTAAATGATACACCATACAATTATGAAAGATCTTTTTTTTTTGAAAAAATTTAAACAATTAAAAAAGGATACAATAGACGAATAGAATAGATTTTTTTATTAATAAATATGATAACTTTTGAGAATTAATTAATAACTAATGACGGGAACCGTTAGAGGATCCGAAGCGAGTTTCGCGTGTTTTAATTTATTTTAAAAACGTACCAGTTGTATTTTCGCAAACTAAATTTAAAATGGGTACAGCCGGTTTGACCCGATTCAACCCGATTTTTACAAAGCAAACCATAATTTCAGCCAAATTCATAATTCTGGGTCAATTTTTTTATACGTAGTTTAACAAATTCCGAATTAGGAATTTTTATGTCGATCACAAATGATCACGTGATTATGGTTCAAAAAAAATATATATATATATAACCGAATCATTGTTGGAAACCGAATTTACAAGTTACAACCGGTTTGTGCAACCGGTTTCAAACTCCAGTCCTTTCGCCGGAATGGCTTAGGCGAAATGTCCTTTGATAAAATGTCTATTCGGGAAAATGGCATTTCGGCGAAACATGCATTCGGCGAAATTTGTTTCAGCAAAATGCGTTTCTGTGAAATAGATTTCAGCGAAAAGTTTGGATCGGATAGCCTAACCCTAATTCGTTTCATATTTATGTTCATGTGTACAAAACGTCTAAAAAAGCACCATTTTGCGACAATATGGTGCTTATTTAGACATTTATTACACAAGCACAAATATACATTTCGTTTTAATAGGGGTAACTGTTATCACTTTTTTAACCGTTTTTGGTGAGGAAAAATACACTAAACAAAATATTTGTTTTCGGTTCGTATAAAATGCATATTTACTTTATGTGGGTTCGTGATAATTTGATGACTCGGGATTATTTTTTTCGGAAAGGCACCATAATCCTTAAAAATAAGAGGAAAATCTGATTTATCAATAACAAATGCTTGAAAAGTGATTTCTTTGTAATGTATCGATTATGTTATATTTTGACCTATTCACAAAGAAAACTAACTTCGAAATCACGAAGTGTAATATGCATATTTGTGAATTGTAATCAAATAATTTGAAATTAAAACGCAGTAAGGAACTATTAAGGTAATTTTCATGTCGGTAAAATGCTGTCAGTATCGTAAAACTAAAATCATTTAAATGAGTATAAAAAAATTTTGATATCCTAAATATAGTAAAATTCATAAAAGAAACGTTTTTTTTTACTGATATTTGTGAGACTATCAATGGGTAATAGATAGAGAGAAAATTTATTTTTAATATTTTTGGTTAATATTAGGCTAACTTTATTCACGTGGCAAGGTTGTTCGCCTCCTATTTCTTAAAAAAAAAAAACAATAATAAATAATAATAAGCACAGAATAATGAATAAAAAGAAATAGAACAGAATAGGATTATTAAATTAGATTTACTTATTTAATTATTATTATTTAACTAAAATATTATGATAAATCTATTTTTTTAAAAAAGAACTCTATACTCTTTTGAACGGGATGTGCGAATTTTTTTTTGTCAATTATAGATTGATTCAAATGAACAAAGCGAATCAAGCCAAGTCATAGCTCTTGGCAGAAAATCATTGAAAATCTAGGTTTTGAAATTATATAACCACTGTCACCAAAATTTTGTTTTACAGAATCGACTTACTCGCTTAGAAAAAGAAGCAGAAATTGAAACTTTAAACTCCCAAATTGACAACTACCCAAACTACTACTCCCTCAGGTCTTTCGAACAACATTAACTAATATGAAACTTCAAAGCTTCCTTCTTATAGTCCTTTTCATGTGTTTCTATATAATGGACATTAAAGGTAAAGTCCATTCAATATGTTCTCCATTTTCTTTTCTAATGATTCAACTTTTTGGTTTAATGTATAGCATTTAGTACCATCACGTTTATGGATTTGACTATCTGCAGTTGTAGAGTTTGGATAGAGGATTCAAATGGTAATTACTTAGCCGGTGACCAAGGCCTCCATGATTGTAGTGAGGGTGAAGATACAAAATTTAGTTTTCCAGACCAAACGTACACGGTTCATGCTAAAGTTGAAGCTAGTTTCGAGAAACAGAAAGTACGAGGACCTTTTAATGGAGATACCTGTTTTAGAATACATGGCACTGTAGATGATTGGAAATTTACTCAAAGACCTTGTTAATCGTTTATTTGGATATTATCTCAGTATGTTGAAGATGTGAACTAATTAAATCTGTTTCTCTAGTTATAATTTAATATCGATTGGAAAATAAATTTTATAATATTTATTACCTCATCCTTATTATTCCCAAATATTTTTACACCTCTCTCAGTATTAATATTCCATTCATAAATGTAATCACTTGAATCTTAAATTTTCTGTAAACTTTACTATATAAAATAAATTCACCTTTTAAATTAAAAGGCACAATAACTCATATCGATTACTAAAAAAATATTAAAAAATATCAATTACCATAATTTAATAATTACATAATCAAATAATTATTACTTACCAGTAATAGTATTACAAAATTATTACGACGGCTATTAATATAAGCAAGTTTTCTATCATCAGCAAAGCATAAACTTTTGATTTCTTCATTAGTTTTAACAGCTTGATGAAATTTAAGTTGAACCTTATCTATATCTTCACCATTCCAACCGACAATTGTACGACCTTCTTCACTATAAGTAATAAGGTATTTTTCATTTGCGATATTTCTATCATAGTAATAGGTTTACCATTATGTCGTTAATCATCGAAGATAAATATCTTGTTAACATCATTTTTATCAACATCGATTGTTAATTTCGATTACTGAATTGTCACTCATTTGGTAATCGCTTATAAACATATAAATTTATTACCAAAGAAATTATTTCTTTTATATCGTCCATTTGTGATTATATACTTTTTTTTCATTTGAAACACGTGTAAATATGCATGGTTGTACATACATAAAAAAAGAATTTTTAATTAAGTTTTTTTATTGAAACACATGTCAAATATTCATGGCCATACGTATTTAGCTTTTTTACTTGAAACAATGAAACATGTATAAATCTGTACATAAAAGTACTGTATGATTTCTCTCAACTAAAGCGATTTGGCATGTAAATAATGATGCCCTGAAAGCTTGGGAAAAAAAGTGTCAAGGTCACTAAACGTGACGAGACTCGATATCCACGAAACTTTTCAAATAGAAATACCTTTTCAGCGAGGCAAAAACAGTCACGTCACAGTCGTCACAATAACTAACTAACGACGCCCAACCTAATTATTATTCAGGTCAGGTTACACAACATACACCTCCGACGAACACTGAGTGTTTTTCGTCAAGGACATTTTGTCCCGTTATGGGTCATTTATATTACTTCTAACTACCTTCACGCTGGTGGATGATCCACGTATATTTCTAGTTTCGATTCTTTTGATACTTTTTATAGGAATATAATAATTTTTTTCTTTTTATAGTAGTTTAGTAGTAGTTTTAATTACCAGGGTTCTAGTCATATTCTGTAAAAATTACAAGACGAACGTAGAAATTTGAGAAATTATAATAGGTTAAAATTTGCATATTTATTGTTGAATACTCTTTTTATAAAACATTCCACGCGCGCCAGATTCCATTTTATTTCACAGTATTTGCATTAGTGTATACTAAAAGAAATAAAAACTCATTTATATACTATAAAAATCATACCACGTATGCACGAATGATGAATATATAAGGAAAAAGAATAAGTTAGAAAATTGTACTAAAAAAAAGTCTTTACACTGCACGCACGTCAAATTCCACTTTATTTTGCAATTTTTTCAATATAAGCTTGTAAAAACCGATTGATGTTTTGTTTTCACATATGTAAAAAATATAAGAAACAGAATATCTCGTGACCCAGTTATCCAATTTCGGTGAACAATTTTTTGTTGTGTAGCTCTATACACCCTTTACAAAATAAAAAAAAAAGATCACCAAAATTGGACCAATAGATCGTGTGATAAATTACAAAACTGATTTATTCGGAGAATATCGTGAGGAATCTAGCCACGTTCCGAAAAAAATCGTTTCATAATTATCGTACGATCTATGGTCCAATTTGAAGAACTACACAACATAAAAATGTTCATCGAAATTGGATTACTGGATCACGAGAAAATCGCAAAAAAGATTTTATTCATTTTCCCCGAATTTGAATAGTGACTTTCACTACTATCACGAATTAATATTGTAAAAAAAGAGTTTATATATAATACAACCATCAATTTCATGATTCTTAGCCGAATCAGTAATTAATTTGTTATCGTTATGTTTAAGAAAAATTGTCTATATAGATTTCATTTGAAATTTTCAAAATATTGCTAATAAAAAAAAATAAAAAAGGTTATTTGACTTTTGAGACGCTAAATTAATCTTACTAGGACTCGAAATATACAGTACATAAAAGAGTTTGCGTATAACCAGAAAAAAAAAATCAAAATCTTTTCTTTCGTTATACTGAAGATAATTTTTTTGCACATCTGAAATGTGTGTCAGGTTGACGGCGCAGTGTGGCGCAGCGATTTTTCCAAAAAAAATTAAATTGCAATTTTTTTTATTTAAAATAAAACCTTTAAATTACTGCACTAGATGTATTTTCGTCCGCTCTGCAAATTTACTTAGAGTATATACGGGCGGTTTAGAAGGCCATTTTCGAGTTATTTAACAAAAACCGTTTTTTTGACAAATCCAATTTTGGAAATGATCGGCAAAGTCGATAAAATCAATTGTTATATACTAAAGTCAAAATCTACGTCCAAAACCTCCTTCCGTTTATAAGTGAATTTTGTAAAACAGATGAAAATACATCTAATGTGTAAATTTGAAAGCATTACATTAAAAAGAAAATCTTCAACTTAGATTTTTTTGAATTACTGCGCCACACTGCGCCGTCAACCTGACACATTTCAGACGTGCAATTTTTTTGGATACTGACCGAAATTCCAGAACTGAAAAAATGCATGCAGGTAATAGTGAAAATTTTTTGGTTGCCTCCGGCCTTTTTATATATTTCGGGGACCTGTCTTATTATTGGATTAGTAAATAAAGTTTTCCACCAAAATAATTTTGAATTCTAACAACTGCCAAAAGTGTGATGTGTTGATCAATTTCTTTAAATATATTATTAAAATTTTCGTAGGCTTGTAATTGTAATTACTTTTAATAAAAAGGAAATCTCACTTTAAAATAATAAATTCGATATATGGAAGTCAAAATTTCATAGTATCATATGATATTCCCTACAAAAAAAAATTTCCAGACGTTATGCTACATTAAATTATTTACTATCAGTCTGACGTAATCCTGCTGCATGAGCATGACAAATTTTTTTTTTTGGAAATATGGAACGCCAATTTTTATAAACAATACAAAATCCTTCTTTTTCTCTTTTTTTAACGTAAAATTAACTTCTGTAGTAAAAAATTGAAAAATGTCAAACAACTCTGAACATGAAGTCATTAATAATTCAAATGAGTGGATTGAAAAGTCTATTGTAAAGAAAAGAATTAAATATTATGATCATAAACACTTTAATAATATTCAAGAAATTGGATTCGGAAATTTTGGAAATGTTTATCGTACAAATTTGAATAGTTCTCATAGCTTTTTAGCATTAAAATCTTTTATAAATTTCGACATCACTGCTAAAGATATTGTTAATGAAGTAGATATATTATTAATATAAACATTTTTTGTTTTTATGATACGCTATTGCACATTAAGCTAAAAATAAATAAAATTATAAATTAGGAACGTAAACTATATCGTGAAGTGGATTTTCATGAAAATATTATTCACTTTTATGGCATTACAACAGGTATCATAAATATTTTAAAAATTTATTTAACAACTGAAAAATGAAAAAATCTAAAATATTTTTTATTTTTCAAAAGAAATCCAATGTGATAATTCAAAAAAATATTTTCTAATGATGGGATATGCCGACAGTGGTACCCTTCGAAATTATTTAAGTGAACGCTTTGAAAATCTCACTTGGAATGATAAATTAAATCTAGCATTTCAATTAGCTGACGCTATATCTTATTTGCATGATAAAGAAATCATGCATCATGATTTGGTAGGTTATTTACAGTACTTATTTACATTTCAATATAAGACTATACCAAATACAATTATTAATTTTATTTATTATATTCGATAATAGCATTCAAATAATATTTTAGTTCATAGGAATATAATTAAATTGGCCGATTTTGGGTTGTCAAAAAGGAATGAAATGGTCGCCTATGTTGATCCACAAATTTTTATTATAAATAGTAATAAAAAGTGCGATATTTACAGTACTGGCATACTCTTATGGGAAATTTCTAGTGGTCAACCACCCTTTTGTAAGGAACTACATGATGTCAATCCTAGCACACCTGAAGATTATGTGAAAATATATATTGGCAAGTACAATTATGTTTAAAATATAATTTATAATATATTATTGATTAATTTTAAGCTTATTTTATATTTAGATTGCTGGAACAATGACCCAGATGATCGTCCAACTATCAATCAAGTTGCTGCAACATTAAATGCAATTATTCTAAAAGAAAACATCCAAGTATCAAGTAGACAACAGAATATCATTAAATTTCATGAAAATATTATTAATAATTCATTACATGAGGAAATGTTTCAAATTATTCAAAATTTTAGTAAAGTAAATATAAAAGAAATCAAACCTTCAATTTCATCAAATCTAATCATAAATGACTTTGAAATAATTATTACTGAAATAATTTTCCTTCTTGAAAATATAGAAGTAGTAAGAAAAAAGCATGAAGTTATTAATTATCTCAATGATCAATATTTAACTTCACAAGAAATTTATAATTGGTTATTAAATAATCAGGATAATTCAAATTCTATTTTTTTACTTGGAGTGTTTAATCATTTTGGAATTGAAATTAATGTCGATAAACAAAATGCATTTGAATTTTATCAAAAAGCAGCAAATACAGGACATGCATCAGGAATAACTAGTTTAGGATATTGTTATCATTATGGATTTGGAACTAGTATTGATTATCAAAAAGCACTTGAACTATATCAAAAGACTACAAGTTTAGGAAATTCATGGGGAATATATAATTTGGGAGTTTGTTATAATAATGGAATTGGAACTATTACTGATAATCAAAAGGCATTTAAACTATTTCAAGAATCTGCAAATTTAGGAAATGTACTTGGAATATCTTATTTAGGATATTGCTATGATTATGGGATTGGAACCAGTATCGATGAACAAAAAGCATTTGAGTTATATCAAAAAGCAGCAAATTCAGGAAATATATTTGGTACATCTAGATTAGGATATTATTATGAAAATGGAATTGAAACAAGTATTAATGAACAAAAGGCATTTGAACTACATCAAAAGGCTGCAAATTTAGGAAATTGTTTTTCTCAAAATAATCTTGCTTATATGTATGAAATTGGAAAAGGAGTTGAAAAAGATATAACTCTAGCAATTTATTGGTATAATGAATGTGCTGAACAAGGAAATTTAGATGCTCAAATTAAATTAATTGATTTAATAAATTAAAAGAATTGAATATACAATAAATTATTTATATACTATTGTCTTTATAATAAAAAAGATTATTGATTATATTACCGCTAAAGCAGTGAAGTAACAATAAAATAAGTATTTATAAAAATCTTAAATTTTTTAAATGAAATATAAATATATGACACTAACATTCCCAATAAAAAGTTTTCGCATCAATTTGTACCAAATTTATATCCATAAGTTATGCACTATATCGTGAGCCCATTTGGCACAAAATTTGTACTGTATTTATTTTAAGCTTATTCAAGTTGTAGTCCAGCTTTAATCTATTTTTGTAT